TATACATGTAACTATTTTAAATTATTAATAAAGATATAAGCAAGGCCTCACCTTAATACCAAAAAAAAAAAAAAAAATTAACAATCAAATTTTGTTTTATTCAAATTATATAATATTATACAAAACATATAAAGTATTCATTATAGAATTAATTCTAAATAATATTTTCTATTCTAACACTTTAAATATAAAAACCTTGAATGTTTTGGATTCAATTATTAAAAATTCATTATCTTCAAACTACAAGTATTTTGTAGATTTATTTAAACTAATTTCACTGTATGAATTTTTAGAAGCCTATGAAAAACCCTTTGAAGCAAAATTTCATATAAATATTACTACAATTGAAAATACTAAAATATAGTTTTAATAGTTCATAGATATATACAAAATAACAATGCAAGAAACTCAAGAATGCACTATTAAAAATATTCACTATATCTTATCAAAGTGGTATTACTGCATTCATAGTCATACTGTAAAACTAAAACAGAAAAACTGTTTTACTATTAATATAGATGATAAAGTTAATCAGAACAGATTATATAAAGAAAATACAAGAACAAGAGATACTAGTTGTTTGGCAACACTAAGTATTCAATTACTAAAAAATGCTGATCCTTACTCTTATATCATATCTTTGTTTTTTTATCATTTTTTTATCATAACCACCCTCTTAAATCTAGTTATGTTACAAGTTTTCATCCTATATCTGATAAGACAAAAAATGCATTTTTTAAGCTTTTTGAGGCAGGTCATACATCCAGTAGTGCATACTATACTTATTAGAAGCAACAGCAATTAAGATATGAAAATGATAAGGAAATGTTAACTAATAGGACAGTATTTCCTCATAAATATGATATCAAATACCTTCATAAAAAATATCATGAAAAATATATCAGTACTTTAAATAGTAAAGAAATGCTTAATCAATTAGAAAAAGAGATTAAAGATTTTAATACTAATAAGAAAGGAAGTGCATGAATACAAAAATACATTGCTTCAGAAAAGAATACTTCAGAACAATCATTTATTCTTGTTATAGTAACAGATCTTATAAAATGCTGTTATATATTATAAGAAGTAGGTGAATTGGTCTATATAGATACAATAGCTAAGCTTAATGTTCTTAATATCCTTTAAACAATTCTTTCTACTAATGCACCTGCTGGTGGTTTACCTCTTGCTGTGATTCTTTCATTTGATAAAACAGCATATACCTTTACCAAAACATTAGCTGTACTTAAGCAAATAATTCTATTAACAGCATTTGGTAAATGTGAACCTATAATCAGACTTTAGATAATTATGCCAAATGACTATAAAGCAGAAAAAATGGCATTACACAATGCTTAGAAAAATGCAACATTGCTTTTGTATGTTTTTCATTTTTTGCAAGCAATATAGAGATAGTTTTGAAATGGTAAGCATAGCATTTATACCAAGAATTGTGTAGTTCTAATTGAATATATAAAAAGAATTGTTTTTGCAAAAACAGAGGTTATGCTAAATATAGTGTATAAAAATTTAACTGCAAATGATATTTATTTAAAGTATTTAAACTTTCAAGCTCATTTAATATTTTTTGAAATCATTATTACAAATAGGCTATTGCATTTCATCAATACCTTCCAATTTGTAATAATCATACTAACAACTTTGCAGAAACTAGAATTCAAATCTTAAAAAATGTTATATTTAAATAGATACAGGTCTATAATATTATACAAATTTTTCAGTTTATTATCAATACTATGGACCTTTATTATATTTATAGATTATTGGTAATAGCTCATAATAAATTAAATAATTTTATCACACTTTGCTTTCAACTTTCTGAATAGTTGGCTGGATCAAAAGATAATATAGAAATTGTGAATCTAGATTTAATGCTATTTAGACATAGAAGCAGTAAAAATCATGATACATGGTATCTTGTAAATATGCGAATTGGAACATATGAATGTAGTTTAATGAAAGCACCATGCATGCATCAAAGCTCTATAGCAAAACATTTTAATATATGTGAACCAAACCAAATACCTTTAATGTTTGTAAAAAAACAGTTTTATTATGCTTATCTTGCATTAGGTGAAAAACACAAACTTCTTAGTTTTTATGCTAATTTCTATCAAAAACAAGTTAAAGAAGAATATACAAATTTATTACAAAATAATAAGTTAAAAATAAATAGTATCTTAAATAACAAAGATTACAGTAATAACAATAATTTTAGTAAATTTAATGAAGAAAACTTATTTTTCTCTTTTTTAGCATCTTCAGATTATACTAATATTAATGATAGTAATAATAGTATTTATAGTAGTAATAGTATTTATAGTAGTAATGGCACTGATAATAACTATATTGAAAATAATAATAATAATCATAGCAATAAAAGTAATAGTGAGAATAATAGTAAAGATAGTGCTATAAATAATCTTCATTGATTTTGTAAAGATTTAAAAAATCTCTTAAATCAAAATGATTTTGCATTAAATAGCAGTGTTTACAAGTTTGTCAAATCTTATAAGTAACAATAATCTATACAAAATACTTATATTCATCTATCTGTAATATTATTTTTTCAAAATAACTAAACTGCAAGTAGGACTAATAGTAATAGTTATCAGCATTGTGAAAAAAAAATAAGAGTTCAAGTTACTGCCACCTCATGATATAGAAAAGGCTTAGGGCATAGATGCATGAAGATGCAACAAGGTAGACTGAAGAATATAAGTAATAATGATGAGGTACAAGAATTAAATCACTTTACTATGTCTAAATAAAAAAAACACTAAAAAAAAACATCAACATAACTTGAATTAAGCAATTACAGAAAATAGACCCAATGGTGCAAATTAAAGTTTTTTATATGTTAAAAAAAATAAATACTATATATATATATATTTAATATCAATATATAATAAAATTCTATGTATATGTACAACAATAATGATAATGATAAATTTTTTTCTAATGTTTTATTATTACATGATAGAGATTTATTAAATGTTACATAGAGAAAATTATTTGACTATCCCAAACTGGGTACAGATTTTTTTTTGTATTGCATACTTCATTATTTAGAAGTTTGTAAGAGTTTTGTAGAGGTTTATAATTATCTAAGATGTATGTTTCAGATATTTTATAAAATGAAAACATTAAATGTAAAGTCTTGGCTACAGGTGCAATGATTTGATGATTTGAGATAGGTAGACTAAAAGGAATGACTTTCATTAGATAACTAGGAATTGAAGTAGATTCTGAAGATAATGGTATTGGTATTTTATTAATAAGACTTGAAACTATTTTTTTGATTGTTTCAAAATTTAGTTGCTATAAGATTTTTGCAAATCCTGTTAAGTAGAAGATATATTTTATAATCTTCCATGCATCCATTAAGTTGAAGTCTAAATTAATCAAATAATTTGTTGCAGTTTAATTCATAGTAGTTCAAAGATTTGGTTCTAATTTTTTTTGTTTATTGCTAGTACATGTATTGTTTTTTATAAATGTCTAAAGCCTCTGTAAACAAATTATTAAATTCTGTTTAATGCTGTAGTCTAATTGCAATAATTTGTATAATACTTTTAAAAAATACTATATCTTTATAAAACAATTTTGTTATGATTGCTTTTGGAATATAATTTGTAATTAGTTTCATAAAAAGTTTGTATCTAATTAGTTCTTTGATGTCTTTATAGGAGGTTAGTGCATCTTTGATTTTTGATCAAGTTCAGGTTGTCCTATTGAAAAGCTCTAGTCTATCTTATTAAATTTCTTTTAGAACTGATTGTATATGCTTATATCATTCTTTTTTTTGTTACTATTAAAGCTTTTTGAAGCTTTTTTATTTCTTTCTGAAAAGGCTTTTAGTAACTGCCTAGCTATATAATATCTTTTTTTTGTGTTTATTTCTTTTTTTTCATCATCTATATTTGTTGTGTCTTGGTCTACTTCCATATTTAGTGTTTGTTTATTTGTATTATTATCTGTATATGTACTAGGTCTAAGAACTAGTTTTGGCTAAATTAGTTTGTTTATATTTACATTTTGTTTTTGTGTATGAAGAATTATATTAGTTGTAATGAAAACTTGGATCAAGATCTAGCTATTTTGTAAATTTATGAGAATATTTTTTTTTATTGATTGATATAAGTCTGAAATTAGATTTGTTGTTGTTTTCATCTCTACTAATAATATTATGTTTTGAGAATTTAGAGTTGAGTTGGAATTTTCTTCTATTGTGGACTGAAATAGTAGTGTTGTAGTTAGTTTTTCACTTTTTTTCTTTATTTTATTTACCTATTGTGTTACTGTTATCAGTATATATATAAGCAAGTCATGTTTTTTTCTTTTGAGTTTCAGCTATATATGTTTTATTATTATTTTTTTATTGCTATTATTGTTTACTTTAGTTGCCAATATAGTAGGCAACAAGATTGTGAAGTGAACAAAAGTGCAGAAGACAGTTTTTCTGTTTCATTTAATCTTTAGTAGCTTTGTCTGTTGTTATTGTTGAGTTATTCTTAATTATTTAGTTATAGTATTCTAAGTGTGTTTAGTTGTAATTTGATATTTGTTTACTATATAAAAATAATTTATAGAAAAGAGTTTTTTATGTAGTATTCCTGTTATATTTTTTTGATTTTATTAATTATTATAAAATATTAAAATTTGTTAATTTAAATTTAAATTATTCTAGTATTTTGTATAAATTTTATTTTTTCATTTCTTATATTGCTTATAAAGTCTGTCTCTATTATATTCTATTAGCTTTGCATTGTTATAAATAGTAGATCTAGAAGCTTACAAATTGTCTATTTTTGAGGCCTGGTTCAGCTTGCATTTAGGGTTAAAATTTTTTGCCAACTTAGCCCAACCTATATATATTAAATTTTTTCTTTAATTCAGCCTGATCTGATCTAACCTACAAAAAAGTTTTTATATAATTTTGCAAATTTTTGACTTAAACTAGTTTACAATTATAAATTTTGTTTTAAGCCTAGTTCAGTCTGCAAATTTTTATAGACTAGGCTGAGCCAGACCAGACTGCAGAACCTAATGCAGGCCTTTATAGTAGGCATTTCACTAATTTAATAACTGAAAAGCAAAATTTTTATATAGCAATTTACTGATACAGATTTGCTTTTTTGCTGTTTTATTTATTATTCTATTTACTTGATTTTGAGTATTAGTTTGCAATTGCTAAAGATTAAAAAATATCTGTTCTTACTTCTGCCTGTATATATCATAATTCTATTTTTTATTTATCAGATCTTATTACAAGTTAATATATTTATATTGAATTAATCTTGTTGATCTTTTTAATTTAAATTATTAAAATAGTTCTATATATTATTGTATTATCTAGAGATCAGCCTATAACATCAGCCAATTCAGCTATTCATTCTATATCTAAATTCTGATCAAAATTATAAATATTTAAAGAAGTTTCATTAGGAACAGAATAATTTTTATTAAAGTTCTATGCTTCTGCACTTTGCAAAGCCTCTCTGTATTTATAAGTTCTAATATATCTCAGTATCATAATAAGAATAATATTATAAATACAAATGTGTATGCTTTTCAACAATTTTTTTTTTAAATAATATAAACACTCAATTGTGTACTAGACCCAGAGCTTGTTATATTAGTTAAAAGTCTTAATTGGTATTAACTGTCTGCTTGGGATAATTCCTAAATAATACCCAGATGTAACTATATTAGTTGTTTACTTTTCATATGATACATATTCTAACCATAGTATCTGGTTCCTCACACTGTACTATTCAATTTAAAAAATAAAGTTACTGAATAAAATTTCGGATATTGTATGCTAGGAATGAGATTGGCTTATAGGCAAGCCAGCTTGACCATGGTTTAAAGCTGAGCCAGCTTAGTTGGCTTAAACCAAATATTTTTAATATATCTGAGATTTTAAAATTACTGATTTAAAAAATTTCACTAACAATTAGTAATTTTAAAATCTCAGATATATAAAAATAGTTGGTTTAAGCCAATTAAGCTGATTTGAGTTGGCCCAGCCTTAAAACGATGGTCAAGCCGGTTTACGTATAAGCCAACTTCATCTCTAAACTTTATTATAATTTAAATTTGAATCATAATTTAAGTAATAGTTTAATTTATGGTTTAAGCTATAGTTTAAGCTATGTTTTAAGCCATAGTTTAAGTCATTATTTGAACTATCGCTATGGTTTAAACTTATAGTTTTAACCATGGTTTAAGCCTCGAGTTAAGCACAACCATTAGTATTTTATTAGTTAAACAATCTGTACAAGTTTTTGGTTTTAAATGAGAAATTAAGTATCTTAGACCTCAACGTTACACATATAACAATCTACAGAGAGAGGAATGGTTGGTAGAACCAATTAGGAATTGTATTACTAAAGTTTTTATAACGTTAAATGTTACATTTTTTAGGTTACCAAAATAATTCTTTTTTGTTCACGTTTGGAAGTTACAGGTGAATAACCCTTTTTAATGATTTTTCTTTTTAGCCTGCCCTAATTTATATTACTATTACCGTAATACTTTACCATATGCCTATAATTTAGCCTTTGTCGACATAAGGAACTAATATGCAGTATACTAAACATGTCAAATTGGTTTAAAGTTGCTATTGAACAAAAATATATTACATTATTTGAGTATGACTCTTTTCAGGATTGGAAAGTAATTGGTAAAGGGGGGTTCGGCGCTGTGTATAGTGCGTATTCAAGAGATGCTGAAAAAACTATAGCTTTAAAGAGTTTATATTGTGATGACAATGATATTCCACTGGATGGCTTTATTAAAGAAGTACAGTATATTATATCTTCTATATTTTCTTATTTACCTTCTTATTTACGTCTTTGCTGGTTTTGTTATATTGCATTTTAAATACATTATAAGATTAGAAACATCAATAGAGTTGCACATCATGATAATATAGTACGATTTTTTGGAATCACACAAGGTATATTAATTTCGAATCCGGTTCATTTCACCGGCAATCAATTTAACGACAGTACGATTCACTTACAAGTTTATTTCATCGCCAATTTTTTCTTTATAAATTACACTAACCTTAATTCTAATTCTAAACCTGACACAAACTACAATGACCAGAATTACTTTGTCAGTGAAATGACTGTCGGTGAAATGAACGCTATCGATTAATTTCATATAACATTAAATCAATTTTATCAAATGACTAATAATTTCGTGCAAACAGATCCGAAAACTGAAATATACTATATGGTTCTTCAATTTGCTGAAAATGGCGACCTTCGTTCCTATTTACGTAATCACTTCTCAGAATTAGATTGGATAACTAAAATTAAAATGGCAAAAGATATTTCTAGTGGAGTAGATTGTTTACACAATGCAAATATTGTTCATCGTGATCTTGTAAGAAACCTTTCTGCTTAATTTACTTTTCGTTTTTGTTATGTGTATTAAAATATTATTATAGCATGATAGGAATATACTGGTACATAATGGTAGATTAATGATTACGGATTTTGGATTGTCTAAATCATTAGATACTAGCACAAAATCTATTGATGGAGGAACATGTGCTTTTTCAGATCCAAATTATCTCCAAAATCCATATTTATTTAAACGAGAGAAACCTTCTGATATATATAGTCTTGGTATACTTTTTTGGGAATTATCAAGCGGTATACCTCCATTTAAAAATATATATGATCAAAAAGAAATAGCTTTACACGTAATTAATGGTAAAAGAGAACTACCTATTAACGGAACTCCAATTGACTTTATGAATATTTATTGTGATGCTTGGAACGGTGATCCAAATTTACGTCCTAGTATAGTTGAAATCCGTAACAAATTAAATTATATTCGAATGGCTCCAGCTTATCACAGTGAAAAAGATATTAGTATAGGGATTTCAAATGATAATTATGTGGATTTTAACCCATTAAAACCAAATAATGCTGACAATAGTATTCAAGATATGAATTCAATAGGTTTATTATGTTTTATCAATTATTACAATCTAAACCTATAAACTTTATTTTTTATTAATAACAATTTATTTACTTTTAGCAGAACATCAATTTAATCAATTGCAAATTATTAACCAAGATTACACTAAACACACGGAGGATCCATTTATAAGGTTAAATAAATTATTAAAAATTAATCCAAATAATGCGAAAGCATTAAGAAATCGCGGGGTAGCATATTATAATTTAGGAAGATATAACGAATCATTAGCAGACTTAACTAAATCATTAGAAATTAATCCAGGCAATGCATTTGCATTAGCATTCCGTGGAGAAACTTATAGCAAGATGGTCAGATACGAAGAGTCATTAGCAGATTTAAATAAATCATTAGAAATTAGTCCAGATAATGCAATTGCATTAGTAAACCGTGGATCAACTTATCGCGAGATGGACAGATACGAAGAATCATTAGCAGATTTAAATAAATTATTAGAAATTAATCCAAATAATGCATTTGCATTAGCAAACCGTGGAATGACTTATTACGAGATGGGCAAATACGAAGAATCATTAATAGATTTAAATAAATCACTAGAAATTAATCCTAATAATGCAGAATTATTAAGCTATCGTGGAACAGCTTATCGCATAATGAACAGATACGAAGAATCACTAGCAGATTTAAATAAATCATTAGAAATTAATCCAAATAATGCATTTGCATTAAAAGTCCGTGGTGCAACTTATCGCGAGATATATAGACACGAAGAATCACTAACAGATTTAAACAAATCATTAGAAATTAAAGCAAATGACGCATTTGCATTAAGACAGCGTGGAATATCTTATTGCGAGATGAACAGATACGAAGAATCACTAGCAGACTTAAATAAATCATTAGAAATTGATCCAAATAATATAGTTGCATTAGCAAACCGTGGAGAAACTTATCTCATGATGAACAGATACGAAGAATCACTAGCAGATTTAAATAAATCACTAGAAATTGACTCAGATAATGCATTTGTATTAGCAACTCGTGGAACAACTTATAGCAAGATGGACAGATACGAAGAATCACTAGCAGATTTAAATAAATCATTAGAAATTGATCCAGATGACGCATTTGCATTAAGACAACGTGGAGCAACTTATTGCATGATGAATAAATACGAAGAATCATTAGCTGACTTAAATAGTTCATTAGAAATTAATTCAAATAATATAATTGCATTAGCAAACCGTGGGGAAACTTATCGCATGATGAACAAATACGAAGAATCACTAGCAGATTTAAATAAATCATTGGAAATTAATCCAAATAATGCATTTGCATCAGTAAACCGTGGAGCAATTTATCGCATGATGAACAAATACGAAGAATCACTAGCAGATTTAAATAAATCACTAAAAATTGATCCAAATAATACAGTTGCATTAGCAAACCGTGGAGCAACTTATCTCATGATGAACAGACACGAAGAATCACTAACAGATTTAAATAAATCACTAGAAATTGATTCATATAATGCATTTGCATTAGCAACCCGTGGAGCAACTTATAGCAAGATGAACAGATACGAAGAATCTCTAGCAGATTTAAATAAATCATTAGAAATTGACCCAGATAACGCATTTGCATTAAGACAGCGTGGAGCAACTTATCGCATGATGAACAGATACGAAGAATCACTAACAGATTTAAATCAATCATTAGAAATTAGTCCAAATAATGCATTTGCATTAAAAGTCCGTGGAGCAACTTATCGCATGATGAACAGATACGAAGAATCACTAGCAGATTTAAATAAATCATTAGAAATTGATCCAGATAACGCATTTGCATTAAGACAGCGTGGAATAACTTATTGCGAGATGAACAGACTCGAAGAATCACTAGCAGATTTAAATAAATCATTAGAAATTGATCCAGATAACGCATTTGCATTAAGACAACGTGGAGCAACTTATAGCAAGATGGGCAGATACGAAGAATCACTAGCAGATTTAAACAAATCATTAGAAATTGATCCAGATAACGCATTTGCATTAAGACAACGTGGAGCAACTTATTGCATGATGAATAAATACGAAGAATCATTAGCTGACTTAAATAGTTCATTAGAAATTAATTCAAATAATGTAATTGCATTAGCAAACCGTGGAGAAACTTATCGCATGATGAGCAAATACGAAGAATCACTAGCAGATTTAAATAAATCATTAGAAATTAATCCAAATGATGCAATTGTATTAGCAAACCGCGGAGAAACTTATTGCAAAATGAAAAGATACGAAGAATCACTAGCAGATTTAAATAAATCATTAGAAATTAATCCAATCAATGCAAAAGTATTAAAAACTCGCGAAAAGGTTTATAAATCATTAAATAAAAGATTTAAATTTAAATTTTGGTAATATAATAGCTATTTATATAGTTATGTATATTTAAATATATGAAGTGCGTCACCGGCGTCCTAAGATACACTAGCTTAAAATCGAATATATATATCTGCTTCTCAACATTTGAAGACTTAAATGGTACAAATTAATTATTTAGCCAATTTTAAAGTACTTTTAGAAAATAAGATACTTAGCAAGAAGCCCAATATTATACTATTGATTTTTTTCTCATTAGTCTGCAGAAGCTATCCAATATTATTGCAACATTACACAATATCTCAACATAATAGCATTGTGCGTTGTGGTATTTCGATATCACGGACTACATTTTAAGATGATTACACCAAACAATATGGAACATGCTTTAGCTGTATTGGTTATGTAATTTAGCACGTGTGTGTTCTAACCCACCTAACCAACCAGATTTAAAGATTAGTCATAACGTGAAATAACGATTTTTTCAAAAACTCACTTGTAGCTCATAAATTAACTTATGAAGCCATCGTTCGCGTTCTAATAAAAAAAAAACTTCCTTGCAAAATTTTGGTATAGGAATGTTCTTTACTAACATTCTACCTTAACCTATCTTAAGCTGTTACTGTATTAGGCCATTGGAAGAAATTTGTCTGATTGGCTAATTTTTATAGATCTACCCGTGATAATTAAAAGAAAATTTAAGAAATTTAACGTTATTAATACTATTACCAAGAAACGAAAAGAACTTGATATAAAGAGACATACAAATCAATAAATACACACAAGACTCTACAAATATATTTGGAAAATAAATATAAACACGTAAAATGAAATAAAAGCAGTATTTATTGAGTCAGTAGAAATCAAGCAAATTTTTTTTTAGATTTTTTTAAATTTTTTAAAACTTTAAATAACAATAACATAATAACAACTTAATCAAATTTGATAAAATTTTTTTTAATTAAATTCTACAAACTTATAGAATGCATTTAAAAAATTTTATTAAATTGATCAAGTTTTTGTTTAGGTATTGGCATGTAAAGTTTTTAAAAAAATTTAATAAAAACAATTTGCTTGATTTCTACTGACTCACCCCCATATATAGCCCGAAGTTTAATTCTGTAATTTACGGTATTAAACCCAAACATATTACAAAATTCAAATTTTAAACCCAGTTCTTTTACTATTAGAGTCTACACCTATTTAAATTAAGTAGCTAATATGAAAATTTACTTAGCTCTAACGTATAAAGCAGGAGTTTGGTTAAACATTTCAAGTACCTTTAATATATGAGTGACGAAAAGGGGAAACCTGTAAATCATCTCGCTCAATAAGTGAAATGATTTACAGGTTTTCCCTTTTCGTCACTCATATACTATAGTTCTGTGTGGTCCAATGAACGGCCGTATATTTTGTCTTCAAGACAAAATGTGTCAGTTTTGGGATCTTTTTGGAATTCTTTTGCATAATAAACGTTAACACCTCTCTAAAGTTAATAGCGATGTCTGCGTTGATTTTTTATTATTGAAACGTTAAGTTCCTAAAAAATGCTTTAAAGTGTATAAAATAAGTTATCCGAGCAATTGAAATTCCTCCTATGAGTTAATCTTATGATTAAAATAATAAATTTTTTTTGACTACATATAAATATAATTTAATATAATTTTGTATGCTTTTTAACAATTTTTTTTTCTAAATTGTATAAACTCTCAGTTGTATACTAGACCCAGGGTTTGCTATATGGGTTAAACTGGTTGAACGTAGAGATTCGTGTCTTGTATACAATGAGTAGTCAAGATATTTCTTTCATTTTCAACTTCTCAAAATGGAACGAATTATGATTCTGATATATTAGTGTTATTACCGTTGGCCACTGCAAATATATAACCTAACTATATTGGTTTTATTACTTTCATGTGATATATCCCCTAAACATGGCATCGCATCTGGTTTATTGCACTGTAAACTATCTAATTTAAAAAATGAAGTTCTTAAATAAGACCTCGGATACCGTATGCAGCGGCCAACAGTATTGCAGTGCCTTCCGACAATTTTTTTTTATAAAGACACTTTGTATAGCTATTAAATATTTCGCAATAGCATTTGTTGAATTTCGTGCAAAAGTTATATTTGATTGGATATAGTGAACAAATAGTCACATGTTACATATGACGTATGCCAATACATTATGTTGTGACTAAACTCAAAGTATATCGATATGCTGTGACTAAACTCAAATACATTATACTGTGACTGAAGTTGACACGACTAAAATTAGCCCCTGAAATTAGATCGCAATTTTAGGCAGGCGTAACTTTAGTCAACTGCAAGTTGCAAAACGTTAGTCGGTGTCAACTTTAATCACGACATATATGAATGCAGCTAAAATTTTCGGGCTTTTGAATTTATTACTTACGAGACTTGGCTCCTGAAAAATCTGTATACAGTAATCTACAGTATATAATTAAAATACATAAGGTCTGTTCTACTTTTTGATCAATAATTTCAATGGTAGTTGACGGTCGTTTGATTCTCCAAAAAAAAAAAGCCGGACATGAACATTAAGTGGCACAAAAATATACTTCATTTTTGCAATTCATATCCTAGTGACATAATTCATAATACAACATAACGCCGTAGGTGAATAATATTTTAAACCAATCAATATGAATAATTGTAATGAAATATGTTAAACTAGTTATTGTCATTAGTTTACGTTGCATAAAACATAGCGAAAGATATGGCACAACAATGACCAGAATTAACATTAGAGTTAAGGTTAGGGGGCTTATGTGC